ATAGTCCCTATAAAATTGAAGGTGAAAAAGTAAAGGCAGCTTTGTTATGACAGGAAGGTTTGAAGGAGGGGGAAAGGCAAAAAATTCCACAGATATGCTGCCAGCTTTGGGATCTGGTCTGTGGTAGAAACACACAACTTTGGGGTTTTGGTGGTTGTTTTGTTTTGTTTTGTTTTTGAGACTCTGCTGAAGTTTTTCTGCTCAAAGAATACAGACTTTTTTTAGAACACATAAAATAGCATCTCTTCTCCTGAGAGGTCAATTTTGAATGAAGGAACTGAAAGAGTGACTACTTAAAGAGCAAAACCAAACATCACTAGCACCACCTCAAACCCCCTTGTTTCAGAGCAGTCAGATATTTACATGTAATTCTGCTGCATTTGTGCACACCTACCTTAGGAATGCATTTGGCTTCCACAATTGCTGTTTTCTGTCAGTTATAATTTAAAAAAAATACTGGAAACTTTTAAGCATATTTAAATGAGGTTTGCATAACTAGTATTGTATTCAGTGGCTCATGTTTTTTCCCAAACTGCTTGTTTCATAATTCACATAAAAGGAGGACTTTCTATTTTAATTATAATGGGGTGTGTGACCAATGTTAACTTTTCTTCCTGTTATCCTGAAAAGAAAGTATTTATGTGATGTAGAGAAGAAGCTCTATGCTTTTGATTGAATTATTTCAACTTCCTTTTGAAAAGATAACTTTGGTTCTTTCAAAGGACCAGGATGTTTTTACTTGACAGAATTTAGATTTTCAGATGTGCTTGTTCTGTCCGGGAACTTTGCACAGATTCCTTAGGGTTTCACAAATTAGAAGTTTCTTTGCATATTTTCATTTCTGCTTTCCAGTTAAGAGCTTTTCCTCTCTCAGAAGTGAGAAAAGAAATAAGTGTTTAAGAGTTGCTGCTGACAAATAAATGCATTGAAATTTGAGTGAGGTATACTGTTTGACTCTCATTCTTCTCTTCATCAGTGATTTTGATAGTGGTGTCAGTCTGCACAGCAACCGGGGCTTGGAACTGGTTAATAGACCCAGAGACACAAAAGGTAAGGTCAGCCTAATGCCAAATGTGCTGTGTTCCATAGCTTGGTGCTGCAGTCAGGTGGTGTATTGAAAACTGAAAGGCTGAACACATTCTCACATGAAGCTGGGAGGTGATTTTTAGGAAAGCTATCAAGCTGTCTGGAGTTGTTGTGGAATGTGTCCTGGGACAATGCCTGCCAAAACACTGTACCCTGAACGCTTATCTAAAGAATTGTTCACAAGTACTTGGAAATGGCTGGGAGCAGTATTTTATTTTTAGTTAAGGGATCTAGGCAGTGACTTTGTGTTTTTTAGAAGGTATGCAGTTGAACTAACCTGATTTCTTTTCTAGGTATCATTTTTCACGTCACTTTGGAATCACCCATTTTTCACAATTAGCTGTATTACCCTAATAGGCTTGTTCTTTGCTGGAATACATAAAAGAGTGGTGGCACCATCAATGTATCCTTTGATAATGTTTGTCACATTAAAAGTGTAGTTCTTGCAGTTGTTGGAGCCTGTGCTAATACTGCTTTTTTAGTTTTTGCTTATTGTGTGTACAAGTGTGGGTTGCTTTCCTTGACAGAATCCACGCAGTATAGCAGCCCGATGCCGAACTGTTTTGGCAGAATATAATATGTCCTGTGATGATGTAAGTGTTGCTGCTTCATTGCTTAACCCTTCTTTGTTAAAAGAAAAAAAAAAAGGAAATAATCCAAAGAGACACATAGTCTGTTTTTCTGAACAGCATTTGTATAAACCTCTGCAAATTCTGTGTGGCTGTAAAACTGGAATGTGGAATACTTAGTATCATTTTGTGTGTTGTTTTAAACTCTCCCTGTAACATTGAAGCTTAATTGTTGGGTTCAACTTTCAGGGTTTAAACTTTATTTATTTTGTTTTCTGTCTTGCAGACTGGAAAATTAATTTTGAAACCTAGGCCTCATGTTCAATAAGGGCTGTCTTCCTTCATTTTTTTTCCACTGCCATGGAAACCAAAAATGACCTTTTTTAAGGTAGTATGACAGCAAAAAAATCAAATGGGACTGGTTGTCACTGCCTGGGAGTAAAAGTCTTAACACAGTTGACAGTGAAAGTGTGCAATATTACTTTCTTGAATATTTATCCAAATTCTTTGTTATCACATTATCAGTGCTTTTGCTACTTCTGATTACCTCTTTTTCAGTATTAGTGTCACTTTTTTACTTCAGCTAGAACAGAACATACAGGTGAAGTATGTTAATCGGCAATGAAGTTGAACTTGAAAACGAAACCTCATTTGTGTTACGTGTCTTTCTAAGCTATTGTAAATAGCAGATCGATGCCAATGTTGAGGAAAAAAAAGAAATATCTGGTGTATGGATTTTCTTGTTCTCATGAGGAGTATTGAAAGGAACGTTTGCCATTCTCCTGATGTTTTATTAGCACACTTCCTCATTACAGCCGTCCTTGTCTCCTGGTCACACTTTTGGAACTGGTTTAGAGGCTCACAGGAAGACTGACTGTTTGTGCCGGAGAAAACTGGTCTTACTGTTAAAGAACTTCGCAAATATATCAAGGATTACATTTGTCAAGTTGTGTATATAGTGCACCAGCCACTTTCCTTGTGGTCGTAGGTAGTTCCTTCTTTGATCTGGTTCAAAACACTTATTTTAATATTTTAATTTTTTTTTTAAATTGTCTTAAATATATGCTTGTATCTTCCCAATTGTAAGGTAGTACTGTATCTAAATCCACTGGACCATTCTGAGTGGATTTTTATGCTCTGATAGTCAGAATAAGAAACTGGTATTGCAAATGTGTAACATCAGATTTGGTGAAGAAAATCTAAGCAGTGCCACAACAAAATAACAAAATTTGTTATTCAGAGTGTTAACAAGCAGGTGTGGATGATATATGCATAAAGTGTAACTTTTGAATAGCTAAAACTGTCAGGTTTTAAGAGTTTAAGTTGTTCAAGGTGCCTTTTTAAATGTTTTGAACTCTTTAAATTGACTCTAACTGCAAAGCTCTTGCAACTTCAGTAACCCCAACTACAGGGTAGACTGGCTTTTAAAGGCAGCCTATTGATGTAACTTTGTCAGTTGAAACTTTAAGAATTGTCTTCTGGATTTTTTTTCCAGTAAGTCTTCTGCCCATCCATTATTTTTAACTGCTGTATATTTTGTAGGTAAATGTGTATAAAATAAAATCTTTGTATAAACAGGTGTTATCTTCTTTTGTACTGTATAAATACAGATCTCCACTGAACACAGAAGAACTTGAGAAAATTTATAGCTGCACTCTGTAACTTTCATACCGGACCAACATTTCCTGTATTTGATGTGGGTCTTATAATCTAAGATACTGACACCAGAGAGGAAACCCCTTCCAGGTTTCTATCCTGCAGGTCAATCCCGCCTCTGTAAGTGCCCTCAGAGGAAATTGTTTCTATTGATGATGTTCTTGTTTGAGCGCAGTAGGCGTGGTGCTCTCCTCGGTGCGGGCTGCGGCGGTGCCGGTGTTG